AGAGTGAGAAAAGCAGAGGTTACATGGAGAGCTAAGGTGAGCCTGACCCAAGCCAGGCTATTTTCACTTGCCTCATATGCATGTGAAAGTTGGACATTGACTAAAGAAGACTGAAAAAGAATTGATCGATTCGAATTGTGAGGTTCACAAAGAATATTGAAAGTACCATGGACTGCTAAAACAACAAACAAGCCTGTCTTGGAAGAAGTATGGCCAGAGTGCTCCTTAGAAGCAAGGATGGCAAGACTTCCTCAAACATACTTTGGACGCATTCAGAGAAATCAGTCCCTGGAGAAGGACATCGTTCTTAGTAAAATGGAGGGGCGTTGAAGAAGAAGAAATCCCTCAATGAGAATGGATTACACAGTGGCTGCAACAGTGGGCTCAAGCATGGCAACAGTTGTGAGGAGGGTGCAGGACCTGGCAGTGTTTCCTTTGTTGTGCATAATGTTGCTGTGGGTCAGAACCGACTTGATCCACCTAACAACAATAGTACTTCTCTGTGAAGATGAGTTTTGAAGTTTTGAACCGTTACTTTAAATAATGTGGCAACCTAATAGACTCTATTACTTGTAATGTTATTTCCAGGTCCATCCATTTGAAAACAAGTTACTTGTTTATTTATTTTTCTGATAATAAGTAGTTGAATTTGAATTAAAAAAACCCAGAATAGTTCTCCTGTCCACAAGAAAGAGACTGCCTGAAATCAATATATTCTACAGTACTTAATCTTTCTTATCAAGTGTTTTGAGACTGCTCATCATCAGTAATATAATTCTTTGACATTATATGTTCCTATATGCCATTGCGTTGGTTCTAACTCTTAGCAAGCCAATATGCAACAGAATCCAACACTTCCCAGTCTTGTGCTGCCCTCATCATCATTGGTATATTTGAGCCCACTGTTAGTAATCATCTGTGCCAGTTCAGTTCATCTCATGCAGACATTATATTCAATTGAAGACTAGTATTTTCTAAAAGATAAATTATTTTATGCCTTAGAACAACTTTAGTCACTGCAACATTTTGCAGTGAGTGAGAGAGTTGATTCTGTTTGGGGAGTTAAGAGATTAATAAAAGTTCTTCGTGGGAAGATTATCCAGATTAAACTCGGAGGGCTGTTGTACTGTTGTCAACTTGGTCTCGAGTCATAGTGGCCCTGTGCACAACAGAATGAAACTCTGCCCGGTCTGCCCACCCTCACAATCGCTGTTATCTTGGACCCTATTTTTTACAGCCACTGTGTCAACCTATCTTCTTACTTTTGCTGCTCTTCGACTTTGCCACATGATGTTCTCTTTCAGGGCCTGGCCACTCCTGATGGCTTGTTTAAAGTGTGAAAGAGTCATCATGATCACTTCCAAGGAACCTTCTGGCTGTACTTCCAAAACAGATTGGCTTGTTTTTGTGGCAGTTCGTGGCACTTTCAGTGTTCTTCACCAGCATCACAATTCACAGGCATCGATTATGCTTCAGTCTTCCGTATTCTGTGTCCAACTTTCACATGCATATGAGGCAATTGGAAAGCTCATGGTTTGGGTCAAGGGCATGGTAGTCCCAGTGTGATATCTTGGCTCTTCAACACTTTTAAAGAGGTCTTGTGCAGCAGATGTAGCTAATGCAATTTGTCACTTGATGTCTTGGATATCAATACTTCCAGGAGTATTGATTTTGGATCCAACCAAGGTGAAATCCTTTATAACATTGATCTTTTCTTCATTTTTCATGACATTGTCTATTGGTCCAGTTAAGAAGATTTTTGTTTTCTTTGCACCGAGTTGGAATCCATACTAAAGACAGTCCCTCTCTCTCTTTTAAAGGCAGTCTTTGATCTTCATCAGCAAATATGTCATGCCCTCTTCAGTTTCAGCAAGCAGTTATGTCACCTGCATATTGAAGATTGTTAAGCCTTCCTTCTCCAATCCTAATACCACAGTCTTCTTCATTATAGTCTAGCTTCTCGTATTGCCTGCTCAGTATACAGACTGGAAAAATACAATGCGAGAATAGAACCTTGACCCACACCTTTTCTGATTTTATAGCACGCAGTATTCCTTTATTCTCTTCCAACAGCTGCCTCTTTTGGTCCATGTACAGATTCTGCTTGCACAATGAATGTTCTGGAATTCCCATTCTCAATGCTTATTCTAGTCCACACAGTTTAATCCCTCTGTATAGTTAACAAAAAAAACACAGTTGAACATCTTTACAATTATAACAATGAAATGTTATAATTCCCATTTGCAATCCATAGCTTGTTATAATCCACTCAGCTTAATGCTGCGAATAGCTAAGAAATCACAAGCAGACATCTTTATGGTGTTTTCTCTTTTGCAGTCAACATCGATGCTATCCCTTGTTCCACATCCTCTTCTGAATCTGACTTGATTTCTGGCAGCTCGATGTCAATGTACTTCTGCCATAGTGTTTGAAATATCCTCAGCAAATCTTCCTTGCATGTGATATATATGATATCTAATTCTGTGCGTTCACCTTTCTTTGAAATGGGTACACATATGGATTGGGGTGGGGGGTGCAGTCAGGTAGCGATCTTCCAAATTTCTTGACGTAGACTTGAGTACTTCCAATCCTTCATCAGCTTTTTGGACATACTTCAATTAGTATTTGGTTAATTCCTGGAGACTTGCTTTCCATTAATGCCTTCATTGTAGCTTGGACTTCTTCCTTCAATGTCATTGGGTCTTGTTCATCTGCTTCCTCTTAAAATGGTTCTTTTTTGGTACAGTGACTCTTACATCTTCTTTAAAAACTTCCTGAATAATTCAATATTTTGCCTATAGAATCTTTCTATATTGCAACTCAAAGCTTGAATTTTTCTGCAGTTCTTGCAGCTTGAGAAATAATTGAGCATTTTCTTCCTTTTTGTTTTCTAGTGACAAGTCTTTATCTTCTTGAGTTGCCCTTTGAAATGTCCGATTCAGGGCTTTTACTTCTTCGTCATTTCTTGCATTTGCTTCAGCTACTCTGTGATCAAAAGGGTGTTTCAGTGTCTGACATCCACTTTGGCCCTTTTCTTTCCTGCTTTTGGATGACTTTTTGCTTCCTTATACATGTTCTTGATGTCTTCCCATAGCTCCTGAGGTCTTCTGTCACTAGTTTCAATTTGTCAGCCCTGTTCTGGAGCTGTTCTTTAAATTCAGGTGGGATACACTCAAGGTCATAATTTGGTTCTTATGAACGTGTTTTCATTTTCTTCAAGTTCAGCTTGAATTTACATATAAGCAAGTAAGAGTCTGTTCATGGCCTCTTTGGGGCTGCAAATATATATCTCCCCACTGATATACCCTCTTTGATTTCCGTGTGTCTGGTGAGGTTCATATGTACAGTCACAGTTTATGTGGCTGAAAACACATGTATACAATCAAAAAGTTATTGGTTTTGTAAATCATATCATCAATCCCCTATTTTGTATTACCAAGGCCATATTCTCCCACATTGTTACTCCCTTTTTGTTTATAACTTTCCCATCCCAGTTATCAATAAATTTCAACTCATGTTGATTATATGTTTGATCAATTTCAGACTGAAGACGGTAGAATTATTCAATTTATTCACCATTAGCTTTTGTTTCTGGTGCATAAGTTTGAATAATAGTTGTATTATCTGAATTTCCTTATATGCATATAGGTATATCCTATCACAGACAGCGGCATACTTTTAGATCTTGAAATGTTCTTGTTGGTGATGAGTGTAACACTATTGTTCTTGAATTTCCCATTCTTAGCATAATAAACCATATGATCTTTGGATTCTTAATGGCCAATACCTGTCTGTTGTAGCTCACTAATGCCTAGGATATAGATCTTTATGTGTTCTACTTCACTTTTGATGATGCTCAATTTTCTTAAGATTCATACTCATATTGTCATTTTTCTAATTAGTAATGGCTGTTTGTAGGCGTTTCTTCACATTTTTGAGCATGCTCCATCAGCAGATGACGTGTCTGGAGGCTTTACTCCATTCAGGTATTACAGTCAACTCCCCTTGGAGGAAGCCCTTTCTCAGTTGCGTTTTGATGAGCCTGAGGGGCTCATCTCTCAGCTAGAGCTGATAATCTACTGTATCTGATGACATTTTGATCCTATGCAATATTTTTAGTATATACAACAATGTTCCGCTGCTATACATATGGCTTTCAGTGGCTAGTCCCCCAAAAGTGGCTAGCCTTTGGCATCTTGTTAGGTTTTAGTCTTCTTTGCAGTTTGTACTGAGTCCGGAAGCTCCACTGAGTCCTGTTCACCTTGGGTGTGTTCCTGCTGGTATTTGAAATATGATGATATAGCTTCCAGCATGAAGGCAACATGGAAGCCACCTCAATATGACAGACAGACGACAAATGGTGGACTGTTGTACTAGGGCCATGATGAAAGTAAAAACGGTCTGATTGGTCATTTATCTCTGAGCATTTGGATGATGAACTATAAATCTAACCAGATCTACATTGTTGGATGTTTTCTGAGTGGGATGTGAGTTTTACGCTCCCTTTTGTGAGGACCCTTGAAAGCCATGTTCATGGAAAGTTTCAAGTCTGAACCAGGGTGGCTCCTATGCCATTTGTGTATTCTCACTGGTGACGTAGTAGATATGCATTGGGTTGCTAACTGCAAGATCAGTAATTGGAAAACAACTGCTTTATGGGAGAGAAACAGGGCAGTTCTATCCTGTCCTGACTTTATGGCAGTGTTTTGTCTTGTTTTCCTGAATGCTTGACTTTTTTTTCTCACAGGGGCTAAAGAATTGAGTGTTCCCTAGTCTTTTGCTATGTGAGTTCTGTCCTTTTCACAGGCTTTGCTCCCAGTTTGGATCCTACAGAGCTGGTCTCGGGAGACTATAGCCTATTGAGTCTTGTTAATTGACTACTTTGCTGAACCAAGATCACTGTTGCTGGTTGGGCAGAATGGGGTTGGTAATATCATGCATATTTAATTTTGAAAAGTATAATAATAATAACAACAAATAATTCTTCCTTTATTTTTCAGAAATTTGTAACAGATGAATGTTTCTTTTTTGAACGACTGGAATCTAATAACTACAATACTTACCGGTCAAGGAAATACACCGGTTGGTATGTGGCACTGAAACGAACGGGGCAGTACAAACTTGGACCCAAAACAGGACCTGGACAGAAAGCTATACTTTTTCTTCCAATGTCTGCTAAGAGCTGATCTAAATGGCTGCATCTAATCTCATTTCATGTGAAAGAAAAGTTTTAGAAATTTGTTAACGAGAAGAAAAGAAATGCGTACTATCATCTGCTCAGTTTGGCTATCTGGTTAGATCACATAAAATATTTAACCTTTGCCCAAGTAAACAAAAAGAACAACAGAAATCCTTGGAAATATATAACCTTTTACTCTTTATATAACATTTACTGTTACCTGTTGAAGCTTAATAAATTGACTTTATTTGAAATAGGCGCTTTTAGAGTGTGCACATTCAGAAGCAAATTTTCTTCATTTAAAAAAAACCATACACATTAGAATTGCAGTCAGATACTTAATCATTCAAATGTCCACTACTTTTTAATAATAAGGTTTATATTAATCAACATGTAAATTGGAAACCTTTTAAACATGAAAATGTGAATTTAGTTTTCTCCTGTCATCGCCTTGTAATTCTCTGGCAGTTCCTTGTGATAGAGTTTATAAAACAGGCCTGTGTAAACTGCTGGCAACTCTTCCATGGTCAGATCAATCTTGTCAAATCCTTCTTTGTACCCATACAGCAGCAGCCTCGCAACTCTCCTGGTGATGGGAGTCGTATTTTCAGTCTTGACCAGGTCACTGAGATCCATCCACTCACACCTCAAGCATTCGTGCTGGCAGAAATTGATGGTGAACGAACATGGCTTTAGGCGGCAGATAATATACATATCTGACTTTCCAAAAGCTCCTGGACTGGTGTGCTGCTGCCGAATACTCAGGAGGGATCTGAATTCTGATTTTATCCCAGTCTCTTCAAAAACTTCTCGAACTGCTGTATCTCCTACATAAAAGAAACTTGTACAAATCAATGAGGAGCATATTTCTAGAAACACTGCCATCAAAGATTATTCGGTTAAAGTAAAATTAATTAAATGTTCAAAAGTAAAGCTCCACCCTAAGAAAGTGAAGTTTTCAGCACAAACGCTCTGCTTTCTGGACCTCCTGAAATGGTGTGTATTATTGAAGTATGTTCTTACCACTGTATATCTAAAAAGCTTTTAAAAGACAGTATTTCTCCGGTTGCTATTTATAGGCTTAACCTGTGCATTTGGAGGGTCACATCTTTCTGACCTCTTCTTTCTCTACTTCCCAAAAGGTAGAAAGCCATATCCTGCAAAAGTCAGAACACATTTTATAAAGCTGAAGTTGATATTCCAGCGTATAGCTTAAGTGCTGAACTGCTAACTGAAAGGTTGTTGGTTTAAATCCACCAGCCTCTCCTTGGGAAAAAGATGTGACAGTCTGCTTCTATGGAGATTTCAGCCATGGAAGCCCAATGGGACAGTTCTTTTCTACATTAATGGCTGAGTTGGAATCAATTTGGTTCATTCTGTGCCTGATTATGCATCAAAATTGCTGGTTTATACTGATCAGCATTGAGAATCAGATAGCCACTTTCCCTTGTGAAAGTCCGGCACACTGCAGAATATATTGAGAACTCTGTCAAGGCTCTAATCTCCTGGGACCTTGTGTGGGACTGTCAAGTCTCAGAAGGCTTCCAGCAGATTCCTTCATAGCATTTCGAAGAGAAGTTACTGCCTCTCTAGCTACGCTGCCAGTGGAATTCCACTGTAGGATTTTGGCATTTCCTTTGCTTGCTGATCTAGGGCACCAAAGAACTTTAATTTATTCCTCCAACATCAAAATGTTGTAGTTAATTCATCAGAAGTTTTCAAAGAATGTTCAATATACAGCACTTTATAATGCCACAAAAGTTTTCATATTTTAAAAATCTTCCATTTTTTTGAATTTGATGTAAATTTCTGTGGCAGTATTTTCATTACCATTCAGACATTCCATGCCCGTATTTTCTAACTGTCCAGATGAACGAACTGGCTTTTGTTAGTTTGGGGCTTTCGTTAGATTTGTGAGCTCCGCCTGTGTCTCCCACACCATTTCTGTGAAGCTGGCCGCCCTTCTGGGCAGTAGCCCCGCTGCTCCAGGCAGTGTTCCTGCCAAAGATGCGGAGAGCCTCTTTGTTTTAGATAGTAATTGTTTTACCAGTTCCCTGCAAAGGCTTCATTTTTACCCCCTCTTAACGGACTACTCTGAAAAGATATGTGGGAGGAAAACTGTTTTGTAATAGGAGACATATAGCTGCCCATTTTGAATTCTATACTAACTTCCCTTGAAATTTTCCTACAGGTTAAACATGGTTAGAAATTCACACTTGGAAAGAACTTTCCTTTATAATAACATTTTCATTTGGCATATGTACAGCACTTATTTGTAATAGAAGATTGTGGCACTGGTCTTAAAGTTTATAAAATAATATTTGCCAATCTCACATAGCTATTACTTGAATGTTTTTATATGCATATTTAAATTGTTTGAAAATTCAAAAAGGGAATCCTCCGGCTCATGCTTAGCTTTTAGTACCACTAATCAAGATTTAAGAACCTTGGTGGAGCTTTGGATTAAGCACTGGGTGGCTAAATACAAGCTTGGCAAGTCAGACTCCCATTCCAGTGGGAGGGGGAGGAGGCAGTCAAATCCTGTGAATATTTACGGTCTCTGAAATTCTATACAGAGTGGCTGTGAATTAGAATCCATCGATGACCTTGGCAATCAAGAGTTGGCATTACCTCATGAGTTTGGGATTTACCCTGCCTGGAAGTCCACCTAGCAGTCGATTCAGAATCAGAGGTAGTTTTGAGCAGTTTAACTTGCACCAGCATTGGACCAACTAGACTGAAAATTGAATGGACAAATGAATTTATTTAGCCAGTGTATGAGCGAACCCTTCACCTTCAAGTTAATCTCTCCCCAAAGTATTTAGACATCACAAATTTAACTTTTTATCAAGATAAAAGTGCTTTCTGTTGTTGTGCCTTTAATATTTTAATGTACTGTATACTGAAATGAAGTAATATTTACTGTTTCATAGCTTTGTTTTTATTCTTCGTTGATAAAGAGATATGTTTAAATATGTTATTTTATCTAGGGTATGGAGTAATAATGGAATGGAGTTTATATTTGTTACTTCTATTTTGTAATATTTAATCATAGAATTAAGATCGGAATAAAACAATAGGAAAGTTTTTGCAGAATGTGGACTTTCCTTGTATTCCCCTGTTTCTTCTGCACCAGTGGTCTCTGACTAGAGCAGGGCTTGGTAGTCCTTCGGCTCATGCAGGTGAATTTCTTCCTGCCAGTAGCAACGAGTCCATTTTTCACCTTGACTTTTTAGAAACTCTTTGTACACCTATGGTATTATTTTATACTAGAGTTTTAAGAATTGCTTTCTATTGTTTATGGGACCCTCCTAACATTTTATTTTACTTAAAATTCTAGACAACGATGCTTCATTTGTCTAACATTATCAAAGAACAAAAGTTTTCAAACAAAAGCATTTCCCAAATAACCAGTGAAGGGCCAATATGAATGCTTAGCCATATAATAGTATTCCTAATGTATATTATATACTTAACTAAACACCGAGCTTAAAGATAATAACTTAATTCCTAATTCTCTGGCTTCACCACTTAGAATGTTTCCGATTGTACTGTGTTATAAAACAGAGTGTCTTCAGATAGACATAGTCTTTTCAGACGTGGAAGAGTACTGTCAGTTATCACTTGTTGCTGCTTTTCGAGTTTTACTGATTCCAAGGTCAAGCTTTCGTTTATCTGACCCCTAGGAAGTATGGCAAATACCAGCTGCTGCTTATAAACCTCTTCTTTTCTCTTAATACCACATGTTTGAAACATAATCACCGGATACGTGGATTGTTGTGACAAGTAACTACATCTAATTTAAAAAGTTGTGAATTCTTAGTTATTTGAACTTAAAGAGGGGGGGCTTGGGTACATATCAACATAAGCTTACATGGCTTTGGGTTGGAATTAGATTTTTCTCATGTAGCCTTAAATATAAGCATATTTGAAATTCAAATGATAACAAAGTCAGTTCATTTGAGAAGGCAACATTCGGAGAAACAACTCCACAGACCTTCTCCAGAAGACTACTTTCTGTCCAGTATTTGTGTGGACGGCTTCCTCTCTCAAAAAGGCACAGGATAAGCACAGGATATGTTCACACGTGCACATATCATAGGGAGGTTGTGAGGCAATAGGATTCTAAAATACATAGCCTTCTCCTTCAGCACATGCACCGACATAGACTCTTCTTCTGTGTCATGAAAAGACCTAAGTAGAATCTAAACATAAAGTCAGTATTGAATAAGTCACTAAAACAAAGTTTTTAAAGTATTTATCTTAATGCAGGATTTCTAGGAGTTGCCTATGTATTATGCACATGATGTTTTGATCTGTGTAACAATTTTTAAAAATCCAGTTTTAGGTATATATGCATTTTTAAATAAAGTATTTCAAGATGACTAGGAAATTGCCCATATAAATACTGGCAAAAGAGAATGGGAACATACGTATCAAGGGATAGGTTATATGTAAATATACTGGTATCAAGTGAGTTATTTATTGATTTATTTTGGTGGAAATTGATGAATAGTTTAAAGAGTAGGTAGGAAAATTCAGTGTTCATTCTTTTGCCTACCTCTGTAAAATTAGTGACAAAGAATTCTTAGATGATCTTAAAGACAGAGCTTAGTAAGCTCTTTTAGGGTGTTATTTCTCATATGACCTTGTATTGTGTTTGACTTCCTAACGATTTAAGTAGGTAACATTTTCATAAGGAGAATTATGCCACCACTGTTCTGTAATTGAAAAAAATGAATGATGAAGGGTTTGCCATGTAGCTGTGATTTTATAATATATATTTCAAAGTTCATTTAAAAGTGATACATGAATCAGAGTTGAGGTGTTTTTTTTTAATTCATCTTTGAATAGTTAGGTTAAGAATTTATCTTGTCTAATAGGTTAATACCAACATTACTCATATGCACAATAACCTTTTAAGTTTACTGAGGTATATCTAAAGCTAATCATTTCTAAATAAATTTATCAAGAAGCAGTCTGTTCCAGAAAGGTGGTATGCTTCTAATGGTATTATTTATACTAATGGACAAGTTTATAATGTTAGATTTTTTGCTTCTAATTTTATATCAGCCCTTAAAGTAACTTCTCTAAAATTTTCTGAACCAGACTGAACCAGCTGGAAAATTTAAATTATATTATTTGATATTATAAAGCAAATAAGTAAACACTTGAATATCATCAACATTTCCAAGTAAATTTTAAATACATAGGATACATACCAAGATCTTCTCCCGGCTCTGACAGGCCTCCTGGAAACTTCCACATATTTTTTAACTGCAAAATAAAGTCAGAACATTATTCTAAAATTAGCATTAATTCACTAACACACACACACACTCATTCATGTATACAATTACTGTCACTCACACATATTCGGACTCCATAAAATCTATCCAGAATTAATTGGTTAAAGCATTGGAGTTTCGTTTGTTTGTTACTGCACGCAAATTTCCTCCAGTTTTCTTCCTTTCCCTTTGTTTTGTGGGGGGGAGGGAGGTGAGGAGGAGGTGTGTGAATGAAGACATCTCTTCCTACCTTTTTCTACAAGAAGTAGTCTTGTTTGTTGGCTGATGTGATAATATATTTTGTATGAAAAAAACAGTGGAAAGAAACTTCTACAGAATTTGTATAATTTTTAAAATTTTGCTGCTAGTTAACTAGTTACCACATAGGGAAATCTTACAAATGCTGCTATTAATAAGTAGAAAATACAGTATAAATGTAATCACTAAAGTATGCTTCTTACAATTTTCACATTATTTTCCTGTATTGTGTTTCTATCATGATTTATGTTACCATTATGATTTCTATTGTTGTATGTGTTATTGATGTTATGTAAAAAGTAGAATTGCTTTTCATGTGTTAGTGTGAATAAAATCACTTAGTTGGAGTTTGTGTTTTCTTGTCTACCATTACTTTATCTTTGTGGGGAGTGGCATATGGGAAGATATGATCTTGGAATGGGGATATGTTGTTGTTGTTGTTGTTAGGTACTGTAGAGTCAGTTCCAACTTATAGCAACGCTATGTCCAAGAGAATGAAACACCACCCAGCCCTGCCCCATCCTCACAAGGGTTCTTATGTTTGAGCCCATTGTTGCAGCCACTGTGTCAATCCGTCTTGTCCAGGGTCTTCCCCTTTGTTGTTGTCCCTCTACTTTACCAAGTATGATGTCCCTCTCTAGGGATTGGTCTCTCCTGATAATATGTCCAAAGTTCCTAAGGCAAAGTCCTGCCATTCTTACTTCCAAGGAGTATTCTGGCTATACTTCTTAGACAGATTTGTCTATTCTTGTGACAGTATGTGGTACTTTCAATATTCTTTGCTAGCACCACAATTCAAATGTATGGATTCTGCTTCAGTCTTCCTTAATCAATGTCCAACTTTCACATGCATATGAGGCAATTGAAAATACCATGGCTTGGGTCCTCAAAGTAACATCCTTGCTTATCAATATTATAAAGAGGTTTTGTGAAGCAGATTTGCCCAATGCAATGTGTCCTTTTATCTCTTGACTGCTGCATACCTTGGAATAAATTAAAACACAGGTTACAAGGAGATATGATATGACCAACTATTCTTGTTACTGACATGATGATTTTTCCTGTTAGAGCGCTGCTTGTTTCTCTCTCTTACCATTATCAAAACTGAATAATGACTGAGAAATTATAGTCATCGGGGAGCAGCAGCTTTGAGCCAGTGTACTTTTACTCTTCATTCATAAAAACAAGTCTTTGTAACCCTCTCATTTCCTGGATGAGTGCTTCTTAAAAGAATGTGTCATTTCCCAACTATGAAGTTGGAGACCAGTGGCCCGATTCCCAGAGTTTCCACAGACTGTAGATTATGTGGGTACAGAAGTCAGGCTTTCCACCCTGCTGTGTCTCACTGAGACTTGAGATTAATTTACAGAGCACATTATGTTTTATTTTATTAACGTAGAAATATATTTCTAAGGAAGTTTCTCCCATCAGTATATTAACTTTTGGGTTTCATTTTGAGATGGTTTCAGAAATTTTGTTTCTTAAAAAATAACTACCAGTCCTTTGTTTGATGATGGACCACATCACCTATTTCTAATGAGCGAATGTTTTGGCAGACTAATGCTGCCCAAGGTCAATTGACTCAACTTTTAAGATCTTTATCTAGACTTCACTATAAATGGTTGGAGAATTTTTATTACATTTGGAAATATGAACTTAGGACCTACTACCATCAAATCAATTCAGTCCTAAAGTGATCTTACATAGGGTTTCCGAGACTGAATCTTTAACGGAACAGAGTACTGCAAAAGGATTCAAAGTGGTCACACACATTAGATTTTAAGTTATTTCATAAATTAAATCTTAGATAATCTAAAGACTAGCTATACTTTTATATTAAGTAATGTGTGACGTTTTCTGGCATAAAAGGAGCCTATTTTCAAAAGTCTTCCCCCTCAAAACAAACAAACAAACAAACAAACAAACAAACAAGGTTGAGCTGGAAGTGTCTTCCAAAAGATAGGAAGAAATAAAGGCTTAAGCTACTTGATTTTAAAATCTGGTTAACATCAGCATATGTTAAGAGCATCAAACATAGCTTCTCTTTTTTCTTAGTATAAAGAAGTGGCCCTATAAATAATAGCAAAAGTAAAATACTAGCTACTGTATCCCTACTATGTTCCAGACATCATGGTATGTGTTTAAACTTTACAATAATCCTCTGAGAAACTAGTGTTATTCCAGTGACTCCAGTTTAGAGGTGATGAAACAAGAACATGAATAGGTAGATGAACGTTAACAACTAGTGAGTGGTCAATTCAGGGTTACAGTCTAGGCAGTCTGATTCCAGCCAATTAAATTTTTTTCTAAGGTTGCTTTTGATATTTTTCTCACCATTCTTTAACTACTCTTTCTTTCTGTTTCATACACTTTTTGATCTCAGTTTAATCAAAACATTCTATGAAAACCCAACAGGTGGCAACATGTACAAATATGCTTGATACAATTGATGTATGGATTGTTATAAGAACTGTAAGAGCCCCCAATAAAATGATCTTTAAAGTTACAAAAAAAAAAAGAAAACCCAACAGGAGTCTATCTTAGAGTTAAGATTTCCTACAGGGCTTGTAAATGTCATGTGTAAGCAGTCAGGATGAGGGTCTGTGATTTGGGCCTGTTTTAGTTGAGGTCTTCTGATTTCGTCTTTGTTTTCTCTTCCTATAAAGGAAGACAAACCTTCTCTGTTTCGAGTGTAAAATTCCATGATCCTTTTTTTCCTTTCTTCCTTCTAAACGAAATATCCTCAAGTTTTCTTGAGTTTGGTTGCTTGTTAGGTGTTCATCGACATTCACCTGTAAGACCTTCCCGTTTTCACTTGGTGAGGTCATCCAGTTCCTCCAGCATACCTGAGTTTTACATCCTCTAAAAGGTCAAGTGTCTTTTTCACTTCTAGAAAGGTATGGTTTTAAATCATAGAGTAGTTACATCATATTTCAGAATGGTGAAAGGGATGAAGACAGTTCCCTATACATTTTCCAGTTAGAAAGCTGATGTGAAGCTTGGAGTGGACGGTGGAAAAGAGAAGAAAGTGGCCACTGGTTCAGCATCGACTCCATGGCAGTGAGGAAGTGGGAGACACAGGATGGTCACATCTGTGATTAGGCAGCCCAAGGACTTGGTTTTTAGCATCAACAAAAAGTGTTTTCTAATGCAGCTTTCAGAGATACTAACAAGTAATAGGCACAGAAGCTATTTCCTCTGTTAAAGAAATTTCAATTATAAGAGCACTTTTTAATGTGTCTTGAAGATTCACTCAAGTTTATTTTAAGGTTTCTAAGATGGGAGGCAGCAGGGGGGCCGAGAATGACTCATTTTCTGATCATTTTCTCACCATTTTCCAGCCCCAAGGACGTCTTCTGTTTTTCCATGCTCAGGATTAGTTTCAGGACCTTCCCTGGGTGTGGCTGCTGGAATCCTAACCAGGAGTTGGTGTAAACAGAACCCCCAAAGACTACCAATTTCTTTTGGACATATCCCAAGAACCTAAAACAAGGGCACAGAACTTGCTATGCTCTCATATTTGACTCCTGATCTTCCTCTAGTGCGGTCCTATGTCAGGAAGTTCCACTGTTCTTATCTCTGGCTGGGCTGCTGCTCACTGCAAGGTCAGCACTTCGAAACCACAAATCGGAGGAAGAAAGATGGGGCTTTCTACTCAAAGAGTTCAGTCTTGGAAACTCACGGGGGCCGTTCTACCCTGTCTGACTGGGTCACTATGAGTTGGAATTCACTTGATGGCAGTGAGTTTGATTTGGTTGGTATCATTAGCTACAATACTGTCACTGTTTGTACCAAAATGATCTTTAAAGTTACAAAAAAAAAAAAGAAAACCCAACAGGAGTCTGTATCTTAGAGTTAAGATTGAATAGAAACTTCAATAGAGCCTTACCAGCCTTGTTCGTCACTCAATGAAAACAGCACTGGATGCTGGGCACACAGGGAATAAAGGATAATATATATGGCCAGCCCAAGGAGTCTTTTTATGCTGTACTTTACATCCCATGTAGCATGTATCCCCATATTATATATTATTAATTTGTGTCTTTCCATTTAAATATAAACTCTGCATATTGAAACTGTATTTTTTCATCGATTCTTAGAATCATGTATATTGGTAGGTATACCAAAACCAAACTCACTGTCACCAAGTCAGTTCCAACTCATTGTGACCTTATAGACAGTTTCTAAGACTACGAATCTGTATGGGACCAGGTAGCTTTTTCTTTCGCCCCAGGAATGGCTAGTGGGTTTGAACCACTGATCTTGTGGTTAGCAGTCCAAAGCTTACCCAACAGCACCACCAACTATAAGAACTCAGTAATATTTAGTGAATTAGTTAATAAAACCCTGCTCTTGGTTCTTCAGCACTCCTTCTATAAAGTAAAGCTGCCACTGTTAGGTCTTGCTCTTCAGAATCATTGGGCAGAAGCCAACGGTTGAAATATATAGGTTGGGAAGGAGAAAGATCATTGTAATGGTTAAACTTTGCTCAGTAGGGGACACTTAACATTAATGCAGGAGGAGAGTGAGACACTTAAAGGAAGAAACTGGCGTTGGTGTCTGAACATAATGCTACTTAGTTATCAATAATTTTAATAGTCATCATTTATGCCTTATGTCCAGCTATCATCAAAACAGAGAAATTGAGTATGATTCATTGTCTCACTTTATGCTTTTATAACATTGGACTGGACACAATATTCAGTTTTCATATTTGGATGCTCGGTTTCAAATGGAGCTCTATTTTCAACTTTAAAAAGTCAAAGAATACTTAGTATCATTCCTTCTGATCCACAAAGCAAAGGTTTTTAGATAATCTGAGTTTGTCTTGTTTTAACTAATCACAACTGTTTAGAAACAAGAGTAACAAAAGCTGGTTTGCAGACCTGACCTGATTCTGATAAACTGTTCTTTCTCAAATGGAAAGAACCATGCATTGTGCAGCCATTGGAGAAAACAATCTTGTGACTCCTCAGTAGTTGAACATGAAACGTCCATATGGCTTAGTGACCCCAAGCCTAGGTATGCAGGGCCCCCTGAAGGAATGAAGGCAGGGACACAAACAGAAACCTGGACACGGATGTTTAGTGCAGCACTTCTCAGGGGAGCCCAAAGGTGAAAACAACCGAAATATCCATCAAGAGATCAACAAATTATGGTAAGGCGCTCACAATGAGATAATAGTCCAGCACAAAGAAAAATGAAGTCCTGAAGTACACTAGCCACCGCTACATGGGTGAATCTTGAAAACAGATTGGGTGAAATAAGTCAGCCACAAAAGAATGTATATTGTATGATCCCACATGAAATAAGCAAATATAGAGAAACAAAGGTTACTAGTGCCGAGGGTGG